TAGAATCTTTGTACTATAACTTAGTCACCTTAGGTTGCTTAGGCTGTTCTAAGGACGGATAATTGAGTTTACCTACTCTGATATAAGTAGGCTCAAAGATTCCATTGACTTTTACTTAGCCATGCTTCTCAGAAAGCTTCTATTTATAATCCAGCCTATGCTGCATCGACACCTTCAACGGGATTCGATATCAGGTCTTTATTCTCGTAGTGACCTTGCCTCCACGATACTCATTGGGTCACAGAGCAGAGGTAGAATTCAAGGCAAGCCAGGTCTCATTGGAGTTACATTTATAGTTGGATTGTAGATTACGCGAACATATATTTGCCATTGCGGCGACAAATGTGGTTCGGGTGAGGTCTGGCTTGTTTTGAATAGCATATCTGACCCCTGACCAACTGGCACCTCTGGTTCAGTACTGAAGTGGTAATATTCACGATACTCAACCTGATATTTAAACCCTTTGGGGGCAGGTAGCGGAAACTCATTACGGATTCATTGGGTGACGAGGTAAGATGGGCAGAGGACTTCATCACAGAGTCCTACAGTTTCTACTTCAGAGCAATCCTTTTTCGTTTCTGTTAAGACCAATTCATGAATCCTTTCTAACTAAGCCTTCCTTATAAATGATATTATTTGCCCATTAGGTATCTGGGATTTGCCTCAACATATCGTATTTTTGGAGTAGCATTTATACTATTCAATCGTCTACCTAGCTTTTTATGCTTAGGTTGATACTCCTATACTCCTATACTATATTATAGTATAGGACCATATTTGTATCATTTTCAGAACCTAAGGTCTCTAAGGATATAAAAAGGCTACAATATATACATTTATCGAAATAGTTATGTCTTCTATTCAGGTCATATTGACGAGTATTGTGCTATTGATACAAATATAGGGTATAAAAATGGGTCTGCAAGGGAAATATACCTATAATCTCGGAAGGGATTCATATCGAAATCTGTGGAGTAGCGTAAGATGGCGTAAGATAGTTATAGATGGAGAACCGATCTATTACAAATGATAGCCAGCGTTTTCCTCCACTGAAATTTTAATCTTTAGTCATCTAATAAGGGGTTAGCTGACTGGTCTTGACATTTGTTAGCTTCGTTGTGGCTATCGGACGGCTAAAGCGATTAGTGTGGCCTTATATTCCGCTTGTCTGTCTCATCATTAAGAAACCAAGATGAGCTATTCAAGTGTAAAAGCATTTATAAAACGAGGATACTTTTTTGTAATGTTTTATCTAAGGGTAAAGCATAATACTATATATATATATATATCAATAGTTTTGCTCAACAGATCCTACTAAATCCAACTTACAGAAATGTCTTTTTTAATAAATTTCTTACTTATTGTTATGAAGTCATTGTTATGGAGAAAGGTACAATGCTATTCTATTAATCTTAAATTAAAACTTTAAAGAAGCTTCCATTAACTAGCTATGCATATCATGGAATCATAGTCGTCACATAAATTCAAATGTTTTCATTCTTTTTATTATGTGAAAGCTTACCATGTTCAAATTTTTTTTTATTTGTAACTTATTAAGCCATGGCCTCATTTAACACGAACTGTAATTTCTCTTTTCTTTCTTTTGGTTTATTTTGTTCTTTTCATCATTTGCTATATCAGTCACTACGCCAAGCGACAGAGGTTAAGGCTACTAATGCTTCGTTGGACATAATGGCTTCAGTGAGTGCCGAAGTTGGCGCTGAGCTACTGGCTGAAGCTGGTAACCAGACTGACGGGCTTGGTGACGTATCTTGTCCTTTCTGCAGTCGTGTCTTTGCTTCCACATCGTCGATGCGTATACATGCTAGCTTAAAACATTGGCGAGCAGCGCGTCCCGCTGCTACCATTCAACAACCAGGTTTAGTCAGTGTTGGCTTTGGTCCTACTGGACAACTGGGTCACTTTTCCGCATTGTCCGCTGCAGCGGCAGCAGCGGCTGCCGCTGCCTCTGCTGCCGCTGCCACTTGCCAGCAACAGCCACTGCAACATGAAGGCCGATTCATCATTACTTCTGCTAACTCTGCTGCGGCTGCAGTCGTCGCTCGTCAAAGTCATCTAATGCAGCTACAGCAGCAACAACCTTCACAGCAGATATCCATTGACTTCGCCTCGGCCGGTCATGGACTCGCGAACCTTGGCATTGTTGGAACTAATTCTGTTCCAGCCATATCAGGCCAAGTCGCCTCAGGAGGCATCCTTCCGTTGGCAACTCCGACGGTATACCCTTGTTTGCCATGCCACATTGGTTTCGGTCGGCGTCTTGGCTTGCGCGGCCACTTAGTCCGAGTACATGGCATTAGTCGCCGCTCAGTAGACTCGTACATTGACTCAATCATCAGCCGATCAGTAGGCCTCAGCTTGCCCAGCGGCGAGTTAGTACTCTCAGGTCAAACGCCTAGTGTTCTAGCGGCACCTGCTATCTCTTGTTCAACCTCAACTTCTACTGCTTTTGCAATCTCCGCTGCCTCCTCATCTACTTCCTCCATCTCATCTCTATCATTGCCCATTGAGTCTGGCATCGTCGGTCTGGGTGCCAACGTTTTGGCTGGACTAAACGATCCAGGGCCGCTACACTCTGTTCTGACTGGTTCTTTATGTTCAGCATCGGGCGGAGCAATAAATCAGGCTGTAGTTAGCGCAGCCACCACCACAGCTGCTTCTGCTGCCGTCTCTGCATCTTTGGTTATGGCTCTAAATGAACTAGAGGCCACGGCGGCCACTTCGGCTGGGTCCCAAGCCGGCCTTATTGCTGTGACAACCACGGATGGTGAAAATGGAAATAGAGAAGTGATGAGGTCAGGAGTTCCATGTAGCGTAATAGACGAAGCAACTAGTGTTGGCCTTCGGACCGCCGGGGTCAGCGACATCCCTCCATCTCCAAGTCGAGTTCCCAGGGCACTGGCCCACTAGTAATAAAATTGCTATTTCATCTACTTTTGTCTGTTATGACACTAGATTCACCCACTAAAGCTTCTTTTTTTTTAACTCTTGCAACTTTCTATCATGACTTGCTGTGATTCAATTTGCCCTTTAACCTATCACTCGGTGCTATGGGCATTTTGCCCACCCACTCTGAATATATTTATCAGACCGGCTTTGTCGGAGAAGCAAATTATCTTAGTATTAATTCATTGCATTCTTGCTGAATCGAATTTCAAGCTTATCATGACTCAATGCACTTGAGGTAATTTACCCTGCATTTGCATCTGATTTACACCCGATTTTCAGCATAATGCCCAAAATTGCTACCAGAAGTTATAATTTGTTAAAAGCTATAAAAACACAACACTTATATTCTTACCATCTATTAATTGCATTTGATATTTTACTCTTATGTCCAGTATTTATCATTCCTACAAAACGTTACTTCGCTGGGAACGTATTTGTTCTATCTGGTAGCTCCCATGTACATCCATCCCTATCGACTTCTTTACATTACATTTTAGGCATTTTCTATAGTCTTCCTTTACCCCAGAGTTTCTTCTATCTTTATCTAATCCATTCTACTCTTTTTACGCGCCTTATTATTTATTAATACTGTTATTGCTTTATCCTAAACTGGAGACATAGCTTCGTGTATGTATATACAAGATTGAATATGCTAATTTCTCCTGTTGGATCTGCTTATATCTTCACTGTCCGTCGTCACCGCTTCTTTTTAAATAACCTGGCTTTCTACATTTTGTACAATAAATCATTGATTTGGCTTTATGAAAACAGCATCGACAGCATATTTTATTTTCCTCTCATTATATATATATATATATATATATAT